TCCTAAATGACTGCTAATGTAAGAAATCTTTTAGAGTAAATCCACTGCTTACATATTGGAGTATTTCAGATCACAAAAAAATGAACTTTCCCTGAACAGTTGAACTTTTGAAACAAAACTTACACTTTTCCTTACTGTCTTCCACTATTCATAGTTGGCATTATGTGTGTCAGTCTCATCCTCCAAATAAGATTATAATATTCTACTAGGACAGATCTTTTTTTGTTTGCTTTTTTGTATGTCCAGAAGTGTCTAATATGGAGCTGAACACCATGTGTTACATATTCATTATGTATACATTAAAGGAATAATTCAGAAGTCTTTGAATCTCTAGTTCCATGGATTACTTTCTATTAAGGTTCATTTCTTTTATTTTTTCTGCTTCAGAGATTTTGAGAATATGATGAAAATTATGGATTCTCTTCTGTTTTACAAAGCACAAAAGATTTCAGGTTTCAGCTCCAACCTTTCACATTGACTAAGGCTAACATTTTTCCATACTGCCTTACCATCTTAATCTTACAAAACTACCATCACAACAATTGACAAGAATCCCACAGTAGATTTGTGGTACAAATACTACCTCATCTGCTAGGCTTATTTGCCAACTAAGCAATTGTCCTACATATTTTTCAGTATAGATTCAAAAATATCTCTAGGGAAAAAATTCTACGTTATTAGTTTGTATGGTTCATGTGGGATACTGCTACGTAGTGAAAAATGTAAATATTAAGTATACCGATGACAAGTTATATCCTTATTAATAAGGATAAATAATTTGTTGACATGGAGGAAGCAAAAAAAGAGCACTTCAGAATTTTGTGCAAATTTAGAAGGAAGCAAATCAATATTAAAAATAATCAGCAAGGATAGCATGAGTTGTTTGCCAACAGCCATTTTTCAGGACAGACAAGACTCTCTATCTCCCTGGACCTCGGGCAAGGAGAAGGCCTGTAACCTTTCTGGGTCTTGCATTAGTTACAGATCTCTTACATGTAGAAGTACACATAGAAAATAATGAGAATACTGCTCAAGATTAGCATACAATGCAGAAAGACTCGGCTGTCTTCCTTTTGAAATGTGATATTGAACAATATAGAGTTAGAGCTGCTGCTACCGTGTTTCATGCCATTTGGAAAGAAGAGAGTCAGAGACACAACCACGACAGGGCAAGGGAACACACTGTCTGATTGTCAGGCTCTAGATTTGGCTATGTCTGTAGCCAGTTCTACTCTGACTTTCCAGTTATGTGTGCCAGTGAATTCCCTTTTTGGCTGAAGAAAGTTTGGGCTAGGAGTTTGTCACTTGACACTGAAAAGGTTTTGATCAACACAAAGTCTGTCTAAATTGGGAAAAATGGTTACACATCAGTTTCTGAGAAAAATGGGTGAAGCAGCTCTGAAAGTTTTTGAGGTATAAAGCATTATTTATATGAAGATGTATGTCTTCCTTTATCCTGTTACTGTGAAAGCCCGAGAGCCTACCAAGGTATTACACAGTCACTTGAACTAGGTTGTTTCTTATGAAATCACTTTTCTCTGCTCACAGTTCTGTGTTAAAAAGGAAAGATCATCTCATTCTCCCTTCATTTAGCCATAATTTATAGCTAGTGTTGCATTTTTATAGGAAATGACATGTGCCTTTAAAAACTAGCTGGGTTACATAGATCAACATCCATAAAATATGTAGAATAAGTTTTTTTTTTAATAGAATTGTGCATTCATTTTAATTGTCTGATTTTTGCTGGTAAGAATATGTTAAAATAACCTGAGTTTCCTAGCTGAACACATGGATAACCAAAAAAAAATTTTTTTTATAGTTTAGGAAGCTTTCCCATGACTATTTGGCTATTTAATACTTTCTTATATGCTTTGGTGAAATAGACTTTTGAAAAAAATCTCTGACTGGGATGGGGGTTGTCTTGGTTACGTTTTTCTTGTTGATGAGACAAAATACACGACCCTCAAAGTTAAAGGAGGAAAAGTTATTTAGCTCACAGTTTGTGGAGGTTTCAGTCCATAATTAGTTGGCTCCAAGACAGGATGGCATGGCACTGGGCAACATTTCAAGGTGGCAGAAGACAGCAGAGGCAGCAAGGGCAAGGTGTCGGGGGAGAGCAAGCCTCCTTTCCTTCCTTATATTGTAGGCAGGCTATGCTCCTTGGGCAGGTGTAGCACTCACAAAATCTCCATGCCCTCTTGCATAGGATGAGAATGCTTACAACGTAAGGCTCCCTGTGGAGTCTCTTAGTTAAACTTCAAAACTTCTCAAGTTGAAACAGTGTACCAACCATAACAGGGTTCTTTACTAGGCATTCTAGGGGCTGACAAAGTTATATGTCTGAAAAAAAATCAATATATTTATTTTAGTTACTTTCTTGTTGCTGACATACACAATACATGACACCACAATTTAAAGGATAAAAGGTTTATTTTGGCTCACAGTTTGTGAAATTTCAATCTGTACTGGGCTGATTCCAAGATACACTGGCACAACAAAGAGGCCTGGTCCATTCATTTAACTTTTATTCTCTGATGAAAGTGTTACTCAGCAAGCACACACTCTTGGAAAATGAAGAAAAGAACCTAAAAGGATTAAAAGGAGAAATATCTCATGGCATGGTGGGTAGGGGGAGGGAGAGAGAGAGGAAAGGGAGGGAATGAGATAAACACTTCGAGGCCACACGCCAGTGAGCTATTTCTCCCAATCAGATCTCACCCCCAGCAGCACTCAACTATAAATCATCAGTGGACTAATCCACTGAAGAGTATGAGGATCCTATGCTCCAGTGTCTTCCCCCAGAGCTCCATATATGAGCATGAGGCTTCAGGGGGACATTTAGGTATAAATCATGATGCTATTTATATGATGCAACTAAGGACAAGAACATGTAAAGTGTGTATTAATCCTTTTAGGTTCTTTTCTTCATTTTCCAAGTGTGTGTGCTTGTTGAGTAACATCATCAGAGAATAAAGGTTAAATGAATGGGTGTTGTTCACCATCTTGAATGTCGTGATTGGTTATTACCATTGAAAAGGAATTGGAGCTGGGGATTTAGCTCACTAGCATAAGCACCTGCCTGGCAAGTGTGAGGTTGTGAGCTCTACTGGAAAAAAAAAAGGAAAAAAAAAAAAAAAAAACAAAGCAACAACAACAGAAAAGCTAAAGGAATTGGATTTCTCCTTAGCCACCCTTTCTTCTTCAGAAGAAGTAACTTAAAACATAGAATCTATTCTTCACTTAAAACAGTTTTTGAATATGTTCCCAATCTGGCTGTGAATGGCACATAAATCTCCTTACGCTTACTTCTGACCATCTGAGCTCTGCTAGTCCAGAGATTCTAGGTGACCCATATGGTAAAAACTACAGTAAGAGTACAGGTGTTATCTAGTCATTATTTTTGATGGAGTTCATCGAGAGAAGTGTACACTCAAACCTTTCCACATGCACATGACGTGTAGAGATATGACACTCCCCGTCATTGTAGTTAAGAATTTCCAAACAGTTATAGTAATTAATACACTGTGGATTGTTGTCTTCATAGTAGTTATTCAGAGAACAAGATAGAGGCATGATATTTTGTCCAAATTCTGTTTCATTGTCATTTGTGTCCTTTTTTTTTCCACCTTAAAAAAAGAGTTAATCGTGAATTTTGAGAGGGAATCCGCTTTAATTTTGAAAACAGTAAATTCAGTGACCATTATCCTACATACGGATATTCATCAAGTAGTGAACTAAAAACTGTTCTTTCATGGCCAGCAAAAGAAACTAGTTTTTGATAAGAAGGAAAAAAAATTAAGTGGCTCATATAATAGAAAGTTCAAAGGACAAAATAGTTCACTTATAGCTGAATTCAGTGAAGAAATATGAAGAATAATCAATATGAAGAAATACGAAGAATCATCTTCATATTTCAGCAGTATTTTTTTTCTTTTGCTAGCTTCATTTTCAATAAAGTGAAGCCTATATGGTATTTTGTAAAAAATGGTCAGTGGTAGCAACAGTGTCTATCTCTTTTGCTCTCATGATTTCAAAAACAGAGAATACCTCTTTCACAACAGTTCGAACCAGTGAGAACACTCTGGGATGACTTGGGTCTGCTGAATATCCTTGATGCCATCACATATCCTGAGAAGAGAACACTGTGATTGGTTGATCTGGGTTATGTACCACCTCTGTGTGAGGAAGGCAGGTGATGTGATTGATACCTCTAATGGATTTGAGACAGAAATTTACATAAGTGAGAGAAAGGAAAGGATGAGGGGTAGGTTGAGATGAATTTGTACCTTGGAAGTAACAGTGATGATGACTTTTGTTACGTAGAAGGATGGTGGAGATGTTATAAGGAGGTCTTACAAGTTATGATACTATCGGAGGTACTTTTCTTGTTGCTGAGACAAAATACCCAATTATCCAAAATTAGAGAAAGGTATATTTAGCTCATAATTTGCAGAGGTTTCAGTCCATAATTACCCGCCTCCATGGCAGAGTGGCATCGCAGAGAACAATTCATACTGTGCAGAATACAGCAAAGCATTAAGGAACCATAATAGCACCTTTCTGTCCCTGTTTACTTATCCAGGCTGCTGAAGGTGGATGGCACTTATACCCTTAATCCTAGTGCCTGTGAGCCTAGCATTGCAACAGGAATCGGTTCCACACATTCTAGATCCAGCCACCTCTGCAAAAGCCCTACCTGTGACCACATGTGACTTTGGGGGTATGTCTAGACATGAGCCATTACAGATGCATATTAGTTCTGCACTACTAAGGAGAAAGAAGACGTAAGAAACAAGCTTTGAGCCAGCGATGTACGCGCCTGCTTGGCAAACAAGAGGTTGTGAGTTGGATCCCTGGTAACAAAAAATAAAAAAGCTGGAAATTAGGTTCTGCTAATAGTCTAGTACGGTCAGGTGGTTAATGCTTTGTGTGATCTTGCCGCAGTGACGATTCTTTCCTGAGAGTTTCTTTCAGTTTACCTTTTTTATTTTGCCTTTTAGGTGGACAAAAAAATCGTGAGAACTGAGATAGGAGTTCTTCTTCGCCTCTCACATCCAAACATTGTAAGTTTTTTTTTAACCTACTTTTTAAAGTTTTTTCCAAAGTCGTTAAATGGAATTGTTGTCCTTTGCTATCTGTGTGGATAATGAGAAGAAAATTCTACCACTTTGGAACCCATGATGGCCTACTTCTTGTCCCCATCACATTCTCAATAATTTGGCTGCAAAAATTTACATAACTATTTAGTCAGTTCCAGAGTGGATGGATTAGCTTTGTATACCACTTTTATTTTTATGCATAAAAGGATAGAAAAGGAGAATTTTATTTCATTCTAATAAAGCGTTGGCTTTCTTCCTATTTCATGTGTTTATCTTATTAACATGCCACTGCCGAAAAAGGCTGTGAAGAGAATATGCTGCCCTCCAAGGTGATTGCGGTCTCCGTTGAGGGAGTATCTGCTTCAGAAACAATGTGAGAATGCAAACAGATGATGCACTTGAATAGGAAAATGAAACACCCTCAGAAGCGCTGCTTTAGGCGATGTCCGGACAAAGCCTCCAAGGGAAAAGCCTAGTGAAAAGCTTTTTGGAGCCAATGAAGTGAAAAAGAACAAAGTCATTTTCTAAACCATAGCTTGTTTTTATGAATTAAGCCATCTATTTAAAAAAATATTTTACTCACTTCTGAGAAAGCTGTTGTGTCTTAAAGAGCGATCTGCAATGCTTAGGATTAAGGCAGAGAATTTAAAACAATCTATGTGTTGGGATATATTTAGCTATAAATACAAAATATTGTTATTAAAAGAGACTAGAAGCCAGGCAGCTCTTAGCATCAATTCAGTTTCTCAATATCACCATCCAGCTCATCTATGTCTTGTGATGCTCAGTGTATAGATTTTCACTCTCATGATTTCCTTCATGGTTCTAAAATGGCTGCTCCACAGTTTTCAAGTATTCAGTTTACGTTCAGGTAAGATGGTGGAAGGGCCTCAGCAGCAGAGGCAAGTGAGGAGAAAAAATTCCCCTCAGAAACTCTAGTGACTGAATTCTCTTCAAGTTTTATTGGCCACAACTGGTCACAAAATCATCCTTAACTGCAAAGAGGCTGATAGAGCAAAAACTTATCATAAATGGCTTAGTTCCATCATGATCCACAATGTGGGATGAGATACTTTATTTCCCTGAACAAAATCAGCATTCTGGGTGCAATAATGTAGGGAGAAAGGCTTGGGATGGGCAACTAACAAAACACACATTCTCAGTCCCTATTTTTTTATGCATCTCTTCTTTCCAAACCCAAGTCATGTGAAATTTTCCTCAAGTATGTGTAGAAGCCCTGACTACTAAAGTCCCATATTTATAGAGAAAAATATCTCAAATGGGTTGAAATATTTTGAATTTGAGTGTGATGAAGACGCTGGTGTGGTCAGTCCCATCTCTGCCACACTCCTTTCCAAGAATCCTTCCAGCCAGCGGCGGTGTTTCAGCATGTGAGGACATCCTTTCCTTTCCATGCAGACTTTAACCTAATCCTGTCCAGGTTCAGACCCTCGTTACCAAGACAAAGAGGTGTTTCATATGTCTGCCAACAGTGACACTTTCAAAGATTTTAGAAACTTGTGGGTTTTTTTTTTATTATTGAAATTGAAATATTTTAGAAAACTTTAGGAAGTGTTTTTAGGATAGTTATCAAAAGGAAAAATGGTAAAATGCAATAAGACCTTTGAAAAAGATGAGAGAATGGATAAAATCCACAACCTAGAAAGATAGTGACTAACATATCCTTGATACTAGAATAAAGAATTTTTATTAAAAATTATTGAATATATCACTATTACAGTGTCATTTTTGTTATAATTTTAGATAAAAGAAATATGAAAATAAAGAATTTATAATTTTCTTTTTATGTATATCTTTCCCCCAGATAAAACTTAAGGAAATATTTGAAACCCCTACAGAAATCAGTCTGGTCTTAGAACTCGTCACAGGAGGAGAGCTATTTGACAGGTGAGTTAGACCTGGACATCTAACCACAGAAATGTTTGCTTGAAGACAACAAAAACATCGCAGGCAAAACAATCTTGAAATTTTTCATAATGAAAGATCATGCTAGTATAAAGTGTCTTATTAAATCAGTCTCTCAAGAATGATGTTGAAGGCTGTTTGTGGTGATACATGCCTGAAATCCCAGCACTCAGGAGGCTGAGGCAGGAGGATCACTGTGAGTTCAAGGAGAGCGTGAACCACAAAGTGAGACTCTGCCTCAAATAAAAAAAATAAAATAAAAAGAATGTTGAAGAAAGACGGATAATATTGAATAAAATATAAGAATTTGGGACACATGGTAATTAAAAAGAGGAACAATGTACTATTTACCTTTGCAAATGTTTATTTGCCTAATAAAAAGTAGAATTCCTAAATTACGTTACATTTAAATGAAATAGTTATGAGAATATTAGAATGCTTGAGAAAAATACAGAAATTTAAGCATGTACTATAATAGTTATTTACTATGATCCAAAAACATAAAAATCAATACTCTTCAAGTGAGTAATCTTAAATTTCTTTAATAGTCCGTTTAAAAATTTTATGTTTCAGAGTGAGCCGTGTTCTCCTTTGCTAATTTGTACCCATTTTGGTTGTCTGTGATGAATGCATTACTCAAAGCATAAGTTGAGAACAGGAAAGGGAGGAAGCCTTTGAACCTGCAGGACAGTGAAAGCATTAGGGCGCCATAGTTTTCCTCACATCCACGCCTGCTCAGGAGGAGACTGTCTGTTCTAAGGGGCTCCTGGCAGCCCTTTTGCTGTGGTCGTCAGAGTAGTCGACAAAGAGTGAATCTGGAGGAAGATAAAGAGACTAAATGTGTGTTAGGATGGGGCAGATGCTGCCCGCTGATCTAAAGGTCTTGGTCCAGGACTCAGGTAGGCAGAATTGGGCTGCAGTGTAGGAGGACGATGGAAGAGAACTAAGCCCTGGATCACAGTAAATTCCTCGTACCCATCTGCTGATGAGTGAATGAATGAGCAGCTGCTAAAATGAGTACACTGTGAGGAGGAAGAGATCTAAAGGGGTTTGGTGTTAATTATTTTGGGAGAGAAAAGCCTCTTCCTGCCTGCTATGGTCTGAATATTTACACTGCCCCAAATGTATAAATTGAAATAATCACCCTCAAGGCAGTGGTATTGGGAGGTAACAAAATCTGTGAGGTAGTAAGGTTAAAAGGGTGCTCTTACAGTGAGATTAGCATCCTTATGAAACAGGCCCAGAAGAGACTCCATTCCCTTTCTTCCGTGTGAGGAGCACAGTAGAAAGTCTCTGTTGATTATAAAGCTAGACCTTTCAGTCCCAAATCTGCTGACACCATGAACATGGACTGCCCAAACTCCAGAACCGAGAAAAATGGTTTTGTTGTGTATAAGCCATCCAGGAGATGATACATTGGTATAGATAGCTACCCAAGTAAACAAAGGCACTTTTCTTCCCCCTAGAAACCTATTCATATTGTTTTGTAAAGCTTTTGTATGTTTTTAACATTACCAAGAAGATTTGATGAGAAGGAATAAAGTAACTGAGTTGAGCTTGACTGAAACTACACGTGTGTCATTTACATGCTCAGCTTTGTGTGTGAGTGTGTGTGTGTGTGTGTGTGTGAGAGAGAGAGAGAGAGAGAGAGAGAGAGAGAGAGAGAGAGAGAAAGACAAAGAGAGAGAGAGAGGGATCCATTGATAAAGTTACAGCCCACATGATCTAATCACTTGCAAAAGTCCTATGTTAGAACTTATGAGTCCTTTTGATCTAAACCATACAGCATAGACTAAAAAATTATAATACTTGGGCTATTTTATATTTAAAGAATGATGATCCATATAAAGGAAGTGGGCATCAGTAGTCTTTATTCGTTTGATAGACTCACAGTTCTGAATCTTGACGTGACCACTCAAGGACAAATAGCTAACTTGACTGATTGATTTGCCTAAATTTGTGAACCTCAGAACAAAGTTGAAGCTGTTCTATGCAGCTAAAAAGGTTTAGACCGCTTGAATCCACTGTAAGACTAGGTAATTTTATTTCTAAGACCATCATGTTCCCTCATCCTTAGACAAAGCTCCTCTGGATTAACTTGGGTATTGCCAGAATTTTTCTATAATGGCTTCTTTTTTACTGTCTCTTTGTTTCTTTTCTTCATGGACATATTCCTTGTTTAAGCTCATTAGTAAAGTTAGTTTCTTTTCAGTTGCTGTTGGTGTTGGACCTAGGAGTTTTCTCTAAGGAGACCTTGCAGATCTCCCTGCTAATTATGGTCTATTAGAGGAAAATCTCATGTTCTTTAATTTTAAATAATTGCTGACATGCAGTTACCATCTACCTGCCAGTAGCATTTGCTGTTTACCTACCTACTTCTACTTGTTTGAATAAACTTGGAATCAAGGGTCTCTACTTCCCTTCTTCCCAAACTTTTTTCCACAAAAGAATTTGAGATGGGATTTAATTCATCTTATAGAACTGTTCAAAAGAAAACACAAACTAATGGGAGAAAGAGAAAAGGAAAACGAAAAATATATTTATGAACAAGATAGTTAAGATAGTTGTACAGTTAGTTTCTCTTAGTTCATTGGAAAAAAAGGTTTGTGCTAATATTGTTTGGACAAAATATCATCGCTGTATCTTGTACTCTGAATAACTACTATGAAGACAATAATATACAACATATTAATCATTATGACTCTTCTACTAACCTGTTTTGAATCTGTTTTATTGTTTTTATTTTTTCTCTTTAAGATAAAAAATAAATAAAACTAAATGGCACTGACAAATATCATTGCAGAGATGAAATAGGTGAAATATTAACACTTAACAGAAAATATCAGACAATGGCAGACAGCGTGTAAAGCACTCAATCCCAACTCTTAGTGGTTTTAGAAGATAAACTTACCCCTCAGTGTTATTCACATCATTGACATACCTGAGATGAACTCGGCTTCTGCATTAAGTTACATAATCTATGTTATCTTAAAGTTGCATCAAGCTGAAAATGTATCCTGCATTATTATCCAATCTGCTGGGCTTTGTTTTTCCTTGTGGCTTAAAAAATCATAAATCAGACTCCTTCTGTATTTAGGTCAAACTCAAATTTATTTAGTTGTCACAATAAGAATTCATTCCTGGTCTAATGAGTACTTTAATAATACCTAATGAATGAATTGATGGAACAAGGGATGAAGAGATAATCATGTTAGTCTATTCCAGTCAAATTGGTTGTATTTCATTAGCAAAAGATTTACTGCATGATGCTTATAAAAAATTAAACATAGCTAAAATCCAAGAGGAATCTGCTTTCATGCACAATTTAGGTAGTAAATTATATATGGGAGAAATCACTAGAAATTTTGGAATGAAATCAGTGCTTTTTATATCCAAGAAAAATATATCCATGTATATGTGTATATGCAAAAACACATACAATTATATTATGACATCATGGGAAGAAGAAAATTCCTGAAGTTTTCTGTTTAGTCCTTCTCAATATCACAATTCTTAAAACCTCAATATCATTTCCTTTGAAATTTTTAATTGGACGTGGTCTGAAGTTATTTGCTTTAAGAGTTCATTTTTAGGGGTATTTTTGTTTTAAGAAAATAATTGTATTTCACTGCAACTAATTCAACAGTATCCCTAACTTGCTAATTAAATCAAAGTATTTTTTCTGATTTTTGCCTGATAATTCTAGTTTGTGAATATCTTCTGAATTCTTTGTCTCTGCTTTTCTGCTCTCCTCTATTGTTTTTGCTTGCCACTGACAAAAATTATGTTAAAACATTATACTTTGAAGCTCTGAAAGTTATTTCTGTTCAAAAGGCCATGTTTTCTTTTACCCTGACAGGCCTTTAAGGTAAGAAAGAGATCACTTTAATATACTCGGGTGTTTGGCTGATTCAAAGCTGGGCCTTTTAAGGGCTTGTCTGTTTCATGCCAATTCCTGTTCATAAGATTTTAAGGATCTTAACTTTAATCCAGGGAATTTTACTAGGAATTTTCCTAGTAAAATTTTTTTTCCTAGAGGAATTTTCCTCTCTGAGATGGCCAGAAGCTTTGTTCAGTTCTCGGCCAGTGAACTGGTGCTTTAGAAGTGGCAATGCCTTCCAGGTGACTCTAAGGTATCTGGGCACATTTGCTATGCTAGGTTGTTTTTGTCCTGTATCTGGTTCCTGAAGCTTTCACTTCTTTGGTAACTTTCTGCTGTTTACAAATAGACGTTTTTAAATATTTTATTTAGCTTGTTCTCATTGTTCTAGCCTTGAGGCTTGTCTAATCAGCATCGCTGAGAGCAGGAGATTACATGAGGTTTTAAAAGTCTTCCACAGATACTAGTATGTTTTCCTCTTTCAAAAAGTCCCCCCTTTTTTGGACAGCTACAGAAAATGTAATGTCTGTGCTATGCAGATGTGGAAACTGAGAACTGATTAAGATAAATTATCTTGCCAAAATACGTAACCAGGTTGTCTATTGGCCCAGACATTTCCTGTTTGCATAGCGTCACTTGTTTCTTTATTAAATTCAGCCAGGCTCTTCCACATCATGTCAAAGGGAATAAATCATTGCTTAATTTATTTGTGGAGAATCCAAGAGGTCATTAGTTCTACACAGCGCAAGACTTAGTTCACTTGAAGACTCTTCAAATTTTGGAAGGTACTATCATCCCCATTTTTTCAAGAGCATAAGCTAAAGAAGATATAGACAAGTGTAAAAGTCAACCTTGAAACTCATATCTGTATGATTTCACAGTAGGTTTTGTCTCATTTTTACTTTGTATTCTACTCTCCAAAACATAAAGTGATCTTTTTGTAAACTCTTAAGTTGTCAGAATCCAAGAGAAGCAATGGTTATGTTTGAGGACTACGTATCTGATCACAATCTTGTTTATCAATCCTAACCACCATTCTCTTCAGCATTTTTGGATTCTAACTCATGGTGAAAACAAGCTGAATACTCAGGACATTTACCAT